AGGGAAATCACGTTCCTTGTTATTTTTCAGCTGCAGATGCAAAACTTTACAAAATACTGTCCCTCTCCTTGCTAGCTACCAATTGCTTCTTACTGTTCAGGGAATTGTTTTCATTACACAAAGTAAAGTGAAGAGAATCTGTGTAGATCTTGGGCAAAATCATCCAGAGAACAGTAGTGATTCATCTCTCTCTCTCTCTCTCACACCGCATTATCTCTAGGAATGCCTACCAGATGAAGCCAAGCTCTACTCTTAAAAAGTGGAAGAAAGTAGTGTGCTAATTAACAACTCAAGCACTGGATGCTGAGTTTCAGGATGGCGCTCAAGACTCCAAACAGAGAAAATACTGTCTTCAAAAGTAATGCTTAAGCATCAAGTAGCAGCTTCACACATTTACTACCGGTAGAAAAAGATGAGACGCTTAAAGAGGTTACTAAACCTTATAACAATGGGCACAACTACGTCTTCGTAAAAGAAGTGTTGTGTTTCCACACAGGGTAAAAACTCAATCTGATCCACCAATATATGAACATATATGAGGCTCTTATTAAATCTCTTATTAAATACACTCCATATAAATGGAATACATTCACTTGACTCCAAAGAAATCTATCCTTTCAAAAGGTAATTACTTCCCCTCTGATGATCTTATGTAATAATAAAATAGCTTTAAATAGCATCTTGGGAAACCTAAGAAAGTATACCAAGCAGCAAATAAATAATTCAAATAGAAATTAAAACTTTCTTTTTGTTTGGGGTTTCTTTTGAGGGGAGCGATGCTTTTGCTTAAAAGTTGTGGCATTACCTTGCACATATGAAAAAACATAGAAGTAGGGCTTGCCATTAAAATCTTCAGTTACAAAACCTTGCTTTTCTTTTGGTCACAGGAAAGGCAGCAGAGGCAACAAGTCACGCGTGCAAATGGATTGAAGAGCCTCCCATATCATTTGGGGCAACCAGAATACGAATTTCTGAGGGGAGCTTGCACAGGCTAAGCAAATTTACTGGGGGGAGAGGGGAAGAAAGAAAAAAAGAGCATCATATCTAGTTAATCTTCTAGATGATGGCAAACTTCAATATACTGGCTCGGAAGAAATGTAACGCACTTAGAGGGGAGAATGCTGAACTCTACTTTAAAGCTGATGTTTAAAACCACATAAACAGAGACATAATTATTTAATGCAGTATTTCATAGTCTCCAAGTGTATAGGTGCAACTTGGTCACAGAAAGCCTTTTCAGCAAGCAATTTGTGAGACTCCAGGTGAAAAGATTTCCGATTAAATGAAATACCTAAGCACATAGAACCACAAACCATAGTTCCAACAAGCTGGAATCACATCTGTTGAGTTCAAGGCTTCAAGATGAATCTAGTCTGATCTGTTAAGTGTTTCTTAGAGAAAAGCAACAGTGTGATACTGTATCTACAGAAGGTCTGACATGGAAGTTTTATGTTTGTTCTTTCATGGATGAATCCAACACATCAGTTAAAACTTGAAGGAAAATCATGCCACATCCATAAAATCTCAGATAACCAAACTTAAGAGGGGAATGAGATTCTTGACAAACTATCTAACTCAAACAGACTCTAGATAGGTGTAATGGTTTTATGTATATTGTGAATTTATCTTTTTCTTCAGCTCCAGGTGAAGCTGAATGCATCACCTCGTAGGGCAGGCTATTTTCAAAAGCACTAACTCTTGCCAGTTTAGTGAATGCTAGCACTCCTCGGTTCTCAAACAGGTTTTTGGCACATATCTGCATTAGAAAAATCTTTGCTTTAGTGGAGAAGAGAAATCACAGAAATTGCAATCCAGCAAGGAAAAGTCACTGTACAAGATGGTCTAAAAGCTGGAACTGGAAGTTGGATGGTCTTAGAAGTTGGAAGATACTGAACATTAATTATCTTTGGGGGAAGGTGGAGAAAATGAAGCACAATTTATGAATTTCTTCAGCTAAAAGTAACGGGTGAACATTACTGACAGTATTCATGAACCGAAAGGAACAAACAGATTATCAGAAGTGGGAAGGGACAAGACCGTAGCTTTCAGAGGTTTTTTAATGCCTCTTGGCCTAGAATACAGAAAACAAGCACCATGAAAATATGCCACCAACCTATAAGTAGTGATTTATTTCAACGTACTCTGATGTTCAAACAACAGAGCACTGAAGTCCTGCAATATGCTCAAGGAGAGACAATATCTGGAAAAAAAAAAAACCCAACCCCAAAACAAACCAAAAAAACCCCAAATGAAAACAAAAAAGCCACCCACCCACCCCCAATACCTATTTTTAAATCCAGAGTGAGATGTCGTAGCTACCTATTGGATTTTCTAAAGCAAAACAAAATAATATCGGCAAGCACAATTTCTAAAGTGCCAAATAATGCTTTCTGTTCTAGAATTCTGTACTCGAAAAAAGCTTTTGTTCTAAACAAAACTCCTAAGTTCTACATCCTTGTAGTTCCCAAAGAACACAGCAAATAGAGAGACATCTCCTTCTCCATAAGCCAGCGAGTGTTTTAGGCAATCTCTATTCCCTCACACATCAGAAATTAAGATAATGAACTTAAACAACAGGAGGTTAAAAGGTTTGAGATTTTTGGGGAGGAGGTTGGGTTTTACCTTTGTCCTTTTAAAAATACATGGTTGACAGACTTAAAAAATCTGCACAAGGGAAAAGAGATACCTTAGCTACTTTCCTCCAGTTAAGACAGTCAAAGAAGTAATATGTTCCCCTCTCGTACGTATTGGTTTTCATTGTTGGCTCCATGCCGGGTGCCCTGGTGATCCATACTCGTTCTTCTTTGTGGTATCTCCAATCCCGGTTAAATCTTTCATTTTTAATAGAAAGGAAAAATAATTTTTATTGTTAGTTATCTGAATTTGACTTCATAAAACATAATTTCAAGGGTTTTGATCAAAACTATACAATGCATTCAAAACCAAAACAAAATTTCTAAGACATTGTTACACCTGCGATCTCGTACCTCTTCCATACAAATATTACACCTCAAACAAATCACGCAAAACTAAGAAGTCTGGTAGGTTCAAACAACGAATTATTTTTATGATTATTTACTGGTTTTCATTTTGCTGAAGAAAAGTTAGATGTTTAATGATGAATGGCACTTGTCACTTTTTCACAGTGGTTCGTAATAACGCAAAATTTATGAGACAGACTTTTGATTTCCACTATATGAATGAAAAAAAAACCAAGTATAAAATGGAACCAAGGTTGGAGGAGGTCTTTAAAAAATGGTTTCCAGCTTTAGACTGACTAAGCTTCTGTTTTCAGCATCTGACTTGTTGAGGTTTTTTTTACATCTACTACTTCATTACTGCAATAGATTAAATCATACAAGACTGACAAAATAGTTTGAACGTACAGCTCTACTGCTGCTAATAGCTGTAATACATCTCCTCCATTCATGTAATAGAGATAAAACAGGAGATCTTCTCCATATCGGCCAAGTTTTATTGCAGCCAGCTGCAAAAGATTGAAGAAAATGAGGATGAAAAATCAGAATAGATAAAAGTTTTAAGACATATTATCCCACTTAAATAACACAAGGATACATCCAGAACGTGCTTCCATCCTAAGTGTGTTGCAAATGATACTCTAATATAACAAGAGTAATAATTATTAAAACAATCTTTTTTTTCCACTTTTAGTTAACCTTTCCAACTTAAAAGATACAACAGAAAACAGACAAAAGTAATGAATCATCAAGACAGAATTTTCTCCCTGATCCTATGTGTATCCTCATCTACTTTAAAAAAACCACCATTTACACTTATTTGCTCACTTCACACTCTGTTAAGTAACATTACTACAACTTCTTACAATTTTTCTCTGTGATCCCTCTTATGGAACTACAATAGTTGAAATAAAACACAGCTAAGAAAAAAAATCCCTATTCATGTAGATATGGAAAGCAAGAGATAAATGGGAGAATATCTTGAACCGCAATTCTGAGCTTATCTCAAGAAATATCTCAATATAATATGGCATTTGAATATTACAGTACATGGATTATAACAAAATTCTGCTTTACATGAACAGCATACTCTTAAAAACATAATGTGTTCTTTAGCTAACCATGCCCATTCTCAGTTTTGTCTTCCCTTTCTTTTTCTAAGGTGGAATGGGTGCATGACATGTCCAATTAGCCGGTTAATGCATCACTGTTCCTAAAAAGATTGAGGATATCCATAAAATGCACTGATTTTGAACATTACCTATCTGAAAGAAAATTATAAAAATTACTGGTAATAAATTAACAAGAAATAAGCACACACACACGTACTCACCTTATCCCTAATGTGAATGTTAGTTAAGTATTCAGATGGAACATGGAAGTCTAAAAAAGAATCGGAATTGATGCAACTATTAAGACATGTAAATGAATATAATTTGCAAATATTAATACTGAATTAAATAGTTATTTCTCTCTTACCTATGTCTTGAGGTCGACAAGGTGATGATGCCCAGGGTGATGCAAATTTGGGATAAAGATTTCTGAAGAAAAAAAAAAAAAGCACAAATTTATCAAAATTAGAAACAAACATCAAAACAAACAATCCTCACAACCAAGACACTAAACCTAAAAACCATACCATACAAGCAAAATCACAACCTGGGGTGAGAAGGAAGAAGAAAAGGAAATTTCCAGCCCACTTTGCTAAAATAGTCGCATTTATTCCTTTTTTTTTTAACACATGGAGTAAGATTGTGTTTAAACTGCCATGGGAATCTACTGGGCCATGATTTCCTTTTCAATCTGTCATTCCTTTAACTTAGGTGCCAGGGATCCCAACCCTTCTTAGGGACCCAATTTTATGCAGGGTTTCAATTTGCGTAGGAACAGCTGCGATAAGCCTTGTGGATTGCAATTTATTAGCCTATGATTTAAAAGGAGAGGAAAAGCTTATACTGACAGATTTATTTTTTTTTAAACTAGCCAGGTAGAGATTTTACTCTTCTAAATTTCTGTGACAACAAATAAATTGAATCCCAGCACAACATGAACATCAGTTTATTATGATTTGGTATTTTTCTTTTATACAGATTTTGCTAACATATATTTTAAAAAATGGAGCCATTAGTTTAATAAAGAGAAAATTATGAACCTTCCAACTGTACTATAATGACTGATATACTGAGGAATGACTTTTCTAATTTACAGTTAAAGTAGTGAAAAAAAAGACTGAGCAAAACGTACTTTTGGCAGAAAGCTACAGCCTGCTTTTAATTATCCACGATAGCATGCTATTATGGAAAGTTTTGTAAATGAAACTTGGGTATGGTACACTCTATCAAATCCTCGCTTCCTTCTTGTCAAGGGCCTAATAATTACTATAAAAATAAAATAAAATAATCGGAAACCTACCAAATTACCTGAACATAACCAACTGCCAGCTGAGCTACATGGACCAAAACCTACGCTGATCAAGTGGTGTCAGTCTTACTTTAGGCCAAGTCAATCTTATTGTTAGCAAAAACTTAAGCTTTGGGACCTGAAGGAGGATTTCAGTGGCAAAATGTGCAGATGTTGACAATAACTAAACCATTCCTTCTACTCATAGCATGTATAGGCATGGCCCCAAGAGGAGCATCCTGCAACTCCGTCACCTCATCCATGCCCTAGGGGTTTGGTTTCCTGGGCAAGGAATCCAGAATTTTACAGACTCAGGACTGCACCTCTGTATACAATAAAAACTGAAGTGTTTGTGCACAGTGTTCCCTTGATGATAGAAATAAAACTCTACTAATGTAACATTTTTCATGGAGGTATTGGACAGCCTACAGTCTATTTGACGATATTTCAGAAAGCTTCAGGCCATGAAGAAACAGCTACATAATCTCTAAAGAATTAAATGCAGTAATACCATATTTTAAAATTTTTGTTTATGTAGTATTTTAAGTTATCCTAAGGAATTAGAAGCATATTTCTTAACAAAGAAATAGCGGACTGTACAGGCAATACATGATCATTCTTTCAACAACCAAAATAAGTCTTAACCTACCTGCACAGAAAGTCTATATAAAACTAGAAGTTAGAAGGGTTAATTCAAACTGTTAGAGATATATACAGAATTCTAAAATTTTGTTTCTAATAGCACTTTCATTGTGCTGAGTGGTTAAGGCATACAGCTATCTTTACTGTCAGAAGTGCCTCACAAGGCACAAAATCTCAGCTTTTCACATGTGAAATGCCTTTAGTTTTTCAAATGACAATTCATACAGGAAGCAAAGGGTGTTCAACATAAGGCAAGACAGCAGGCCAGACACTGAGGACTGTGCAGGCTGTCTGCAAATCTTTTCTGTAGTATAAAAGAAAACCAGCTTTCTGATACAGAACTGCCTGGGTAAAATATTAACCCTATCCCCTCCAAGACCCTTAATACCCTAATACACAGGAATTAAATGTTAAAAGCTTTTAAAAAACCAGCTGTTTACAGCATACCTGCTAAGGAAAAGCAGCAGCATGCCAGGTATACATACTGCTTATGTACAAAGACACACAAATTATTTGGATGCTGTATTCAGGAGCTGCATAACACAGCTACAAGTCATCACATCATCAAAGCATGTTTAGTATTCCTCTGCAATGAGGTATTAGTTTTATGTAGACTTTCCAAGAGGTATGTTAAGATGAAGCATGTTAGTCATTAAAACTAATGAGTAACATTGAATAAAATATCAAATAGTATCACCAAAAGTAGTGTCACTACTACTATTCTGCATGTCAACATCTAGAGAAAGTCGCTATATAACCAAACGATATAGCAAGATTCCACCTGTGTCTAGGAACAGCTCAAGAATTCAAATACTGATGTACTTTGAAACTGTTCTGTGTGCATTCTCTTTATGTTGCAGGAGAAGGGGATGGGCGTGGGAAACTACTGGATTCAACAGAGGAGTGACCTGTGGGACTAACACTATGAGTGAAGAAGACACTACATTAACGTAACACATTCTGCAAATAACTACAGACAACTGTATCAGAAGGCTGACTTTGGATGATCGCTTTGAAATATTTTAGAAGTGCCAATGGTAAAACAATTTTACTAAGTTTTGATGCAAGCTCTACAGAAAGAATTTCCAGAAGTGGTAATTCCTAAGAAGTTACATCTCTAGAAAAAAATATGTAAATTCATGCCAATTATTTCAAGACAGAAAAAAATCAGGAGCTGTTTTTCTTATGCTTTCCCTTGCACCTTGATATCCACATTCATCAGTCTTCCCTGAAGTGGTGTATTCAGAGTATAGCTACGTATAAATTTGTGAAACACTGGAACTGCGCACGTGTGTATGCTGTTTAGTCTTTGTTTTGTCAATGTATTATGTGCAAACCTTAAAATGAACCTACAGCTCTGTCAGTAAGGCTAACACTATGTAAATCTCTGCGGAAACCAAGTGATGGGAGATTCTCAGATGAAAGTCAGAGAGTACCAGAAACTACATTGCTCTCACAATTGCAGTCACCTAGAAGATAAGCGTTTTTGTCCAAACTGATCTAGGTTCCTTCTACAACAAGTGGAGAAAGAGAGGCATGCTGGCCTGGTGATTCATCTCATCTGTCTTCAGCACTTACCTTACCATTAGTTCAGTTGCTAACTGCTTTTCTCCCCACTGCCTCTACAGGAAGCCTAGATGACTAAACTCAGATGAACTGAATGACCAGAAGTTAACTATAAAACTACATTTTCATTTAAATTAATCTTTGGTGCAGGGTAACACTGCACATGCTCTGTTCATTATTACACTAATATAAATTGAATTTACCCCCAAGTTGCTGACAGTTAAGTGTAGATGTCCTCAAGAAATATTATTATTTGAAAAATAATGTATACATGAAATTTATTAACAATATACTGTCAATTCCTTGAAGAAAGTCCTAAAGAAGTTAGGAGAATAAGCAAAGCCACTAGGTTTATTGAAAGCTTGCATAACAAGATCTCGGTATGCCTTGAAGCATAATTCTCTTGTTTATGAAAATTTTATTTTACTGTCATTACACTTTCAAATTTTATTTGGCAAAATATCTTGTGGGTTTGATAGTCGTGTGAGCTAAGCGAGCCTATTATTATGAATGACAGCATAATAAAACCAAAACTGAAGATAGTACTAAAAACCAGAAACTTACTCAGGAGAGTTGAGATTGAGACCTAGTGTTGTTAAATCACTTCCTAATGCAAGATGTACCATTCCTGGATCTGTCTCTGCTGCCCTGATGAATGTTAACAAGCCAATCATTCCAAACTGGTCCGTCACCATCCCTTGAGGAATGTTGGTAACCCGACCTGGGCAAGAAGAACAAATTAATTTTCTCCTTTCAAGAAGTGGATGAATCAACAAGGTGATCTAAATGACTGTCAAAACTTTTAAAGAAAAAAAAGTGGAATGACACATACCATCAGGTAACACCTGGATCCCTTTTTTCTGCTGGTTGTTGTTTTGCGTAGTTGAACTTTTATCTCCAGGAAACTTGGGCCCATCTGTGCTGGATGATGTTTTGCCTGATGTACTCAAATTCTATTAAAAATAATTTACAGAGTTGGTATGATAGAAACAAGTCAAAACAGAAAAACTTGCTGACAGTGTCTTTCAGTCAAGTGCTCTAAACCGGTATGTCAAGTCACTCTAATAAATTAGGCATTAAAATGGAACGAAGCTGAAGCTGTTGAGTTCTGCTGACAAACTTTATGTAATATTTACCACTTCCTAAAGTATACCTGTCATACAATAAAAGATATTAATGAGCCTACAGCTTGCAGTCTAAAAGGATAAGAAAATATTTTACACCTGAGTTTGAATACGCAATGGATATCCCAAGTGCCTGTGACTAGAGGATATTTAGGACTCATCACATCATATATTTTTCCCATACAGTCTTGCTCCTGCATAACACTCCATGATGTAGCAACAGATAATAACTCAAACCAATTTCAGGTGCAAGCAACATACAGCTGGCACATTCGCAACTATCAGGAAAGAGATGTAAACACGATGTCTGGCAAGAAAACTGTGATTGCACTCCAGGAGCCCATATCCTGACAAAAAGGTATCTTCTGTAACTATTATTTTTATTGTTCTTTAAAACACATCTGCAGTAACACAATGCAATTGCATTTACTCCCTCCTTCCTTACTGTATTCAGCGCTAGCTGTATGAGAACATTTTCCACACAGTAAACCTGACCATGACATTTGGGAGCTAGGCTTCCCCTGTCCCTTTTTTGAACAGTTGCATTTTTCAGTTTTCACATGAGTGTGTTTGTAGGCACAGCTACTACCTACTCATCAATATTTATGCCACCCTGATTAACATTTTTTTTGCAATTATAAGTAATTAAACAATGTGAAACTAGAACATTTTGTCAAATACTGTAGGAAAGTGTTCTCTGCCACCCAAATTTTACTCAACATTGCATTTGTAATAAAAAAGAATTTTTTATTACAAATCTTTCAGAGTAAACAATGAAAAAAACCCTGTCATCTTATGTTCTAAGCTATATATTCAATGCATGATAATTACAATACTTAAAATACAGTGCATCCCACTAGTCTATAACATACCCAGAAATGCAACGGTCTCTATTAAAAGAGATTCTCTGTGATTTCATTTTCCCATGAAGAATTCTACCTTGAAGTGATATTGTACCACCTAACTTTTAAAGGATTTGACAGCTTTGAAGAAAGATGTTATAAAGTGTAAATTACTACTACTGATGGGAGGCACCCACAGCAAAAAACCAAGCTGGAATTGGTAGAAAAATAAATTATAAATTGCAAAACTTGAAAAATATATATCAATTCTCAAAAATAAATTTTAAGGTGTTCTTGCAAGTTCCTCCCTGGCTGCTCCCCAAAATACAAAAGGATAAACAGAAGTCATATGGAATTAATGAAGCAAGGTCGCAGTGACTGTTGGGACCAAAAAAACTTCCTGAGAAATTCCATTTACATAGTTATATATGAAATGCTGCTTATGCTAAATTTCTCGTTAATTTAGAGGGGCAAATTTGAAAATCTTGCATTACAAATAAAGTCACCGGCCATTTCATGTAGGAACACACAAAATAAAAGAGAATTTAAGGTTTACTTACAGATTTATTGTCATCATTACTCGATGTTGGGTCTTTGTAGCTGGAGCCTGGTAATGCTGGAAAATCTTCATTGTGTATTGAAAAGTCCTGGGACTGCTCACTTGCTGGTTTTGTTACCATTCCAACTATGATCAAAATGAGAGCAGAAATAACATTAAGCTACTGCTAAGTAAAGAATTTTCTGCTGTTGATCTTGCTTACTGTCCATTTCCATTATGTGCAAGCGGTACAGCAGAAGTGACTTTCAAAAAACCAGATAAACCAAAACAAAGCATATTCATATAAAACATCCACACATATTAGACTAAAGCCTCTTATTTAAGTGTGAGCTGAGAAACACTCTGGGTTAAATTCATAGACACATCCACTGCTTTAAGAATGAAGCCCAGTACTTTTACCAGGAACAGCACCTCTTTTGCACATCTAAATAATCAAATAATCTTTACAGGCATTATTAAAGCGGTATTTAAGGAAATCCACTGATGAAGGAAGGATGTACTGCTTTTAAGATTATAATACATTTTTCCTCCATCCCCTAATTGCATGAAGAATTTCTTAGCATAATCTCTTTAGAAGCACGTATTCTTAAAGGATGCCCAGCTAACTCGCAGCAGAACATATCACCAATGAAATACTTGCCTGTGACATAAGAACGACTCCTACTTTCAGTATGAAAACTGAAAGCATTTAGCCTGCAACTCTCAGTGCTCTGACCCTAATTTAAAAAAAGTAGGCCAGTCACATTGGAACATAGATTCCAACTACTGAAAAGCAACATTTTTTTTTTTTTTAATGCCAGTTAAAAAAAACCAAAACACAAAACAAAACAAAACCAAAACAACCAAAGCAAAGCCCTCACACAAAGATTCTTAATAGACATATAGGATCTAAAATAAGTTCAGTAGCTGACTCTATATGACTTTCTCTAGTATTCTGAAGTTGAGAGATCAAAGTTCCTTTATTTTAAGAAAAAAACCACTGAGTTAATCTTGTTTCTGCTGTTCACCCTTTTCATCCAGAGTTACTATGATTTCTTCCACTGGATGAATAAAACTGATAATGAATTAACTGTGTATTGCATAGTCTCGTTCTATCTAAAAAGTTGTTTGAAGTCTAATTTTCCTAAATAAGCTAAGCATGAAGAAAGTATGTCTCTGCACAGTTTCAAACTTTTTTTTCTTGATCACAACCAGAAGTGCTCTGTTTTTTGTTGCTGGAGACAGTGTCCAGTGCATCTCATATCCCTACTTCTTGATTGTTTCTACCACCATACCCATCCCCTGCATTACGCAGATGATCAAGATAACTCTTCAGACACAGAAATTTCTTTCCTGGTAGATCACACAGTTGTGCAAACAGCTATGCTAGCAACAAAACAGGGAAATGGTGTAAGCATGAGAGCAATTACAGATTTTTTTTTTTTTTTTTATGCGGCAGTGCTGCTGAATGTTGAACTCATTTCCATGCTGGAAATACATCTGTGTGGATCTCCTTCCTACCTTTTATCAATTTTCCATGTAATGGCTTCTTTCAGAGACAGACAAAATTTCATGTAAACCACAAGCTGTATTAGCTCCCCACTCTCAGTGTGACTTTTCAGCGTCTTCATTTGCGGAATTGAGTTTTCCCTCTGTTTAGGAGCACTTCAGTTGAACTCGTTTAGCTCTTTCTCACAGCTATCTTAAGCAGAGGGCCCTGGTTACACCCAATCCATGAGGCTACTTTCTCCTGATAACACAGTATCTATTATTTCTCTCCAATTAAAGTTGGAGATATCTCTGAAAAACACTAGCTTTTTATAGTTAAATAACACTGGGTTATTTTTGGTTGGAAATTTGACAAGTGTCACAAAAATAACTTTAGGGTACAAAAGCAACTTTTCAGAGTACCTGATGCAACATGGGTGACAAAAATCTACTAAAGCAGTAACAAAAAAAGTATTGTGCCTCGTGCTAAGCTTACCTGATTTTTTTCCAGACCCAAATAATATTTGTATCCACCTTAAAGTTTGTCTTTTTATTATTTTTTTTAGCTGTTCAGCAAGAATTATATAAGACGCAGACTTGGATTCTGACTGATAACAGTTGATGCTTACAGGTTATTTTTTGAAATCTGATGTTCATCGTAAGAGTGACAGTGAACAGTACTACAGCAAGCACTACCAATAAACAGAAAATATACAGTATGTTTTCAGCTGCTGACTTTTTACACAGTAACACCTCTAGTAATCAAGTATTATTTCTAAAATTTACTACTCAGATCTCAACAGTTCTTGTATACATGCAATTAGAAAACAACCTATTGCCTAAGAAGTGTCTATAGTGAGCAGCTTCAGAGTAATTGTACTATACAGACTGAAAACCCCAACAACCTCTACTGACGGTGAAACTAAAGCCTGAGGGGAATCTCCAATCACAGAGATATTGATTATTTATTTTAAAAAATGAGACTTAAGAGCTCAAGTGTCTGGTATTTTTTAAAAGACTACCTATGGTCTTATGAACACAGCAAAAGAGCAATCAGGCAAATATCGATTTCATTCAAAGAGCTTTCAAAAGTAGAGTCTTACCATAGGGTGCCCTTCCAGCTAAAGGGTTTATTAATGGAGTTGGATTGCCACTTCCTTCCCTTCTGTTTCTGTCTGCTAGTGCTGGAAAATCTGAGAGGTCCAGTCCTGTCACATTTTCACTTCCATCTACAATAAAAACAAGCATTTTAAGTTCCCTTATGTTTTCTATTCAAAGACTTCATTATGTGCAAGATAAATATATTTTCTTTCTTCAAGTTATCTTTTCACTCTTACTATAATTACTACAAATAACTACAGCCTCTGTGTTACGAGACTAGCCTAAAGAGTATCAAGATGTTTGGGCTTTGTTTTTAAACAACAGCTAGTCAACAGTATTTAGTAACAAGGTCTACTCAATTTAAAGACTGCGCACATAAAATACAGGCAGACTATCAAAATTACAGTACTAGGATAAGTAGCCTGTTTAAATTGAAGGAGCTACCGAGAAATTTGAGAGAAAATAATAACCCATATTAGCAGCAGCACCAAGGAGCTCTTCTGCCCTTAGATATGGTAAGATAAAGCTGAAGCAGCTATAGAGCCAATGCAGTGCAAGTTACATGGCAATATTTTTCAATTTGCAGCAGAAACTACTACATAGGCATGGTCAGAGCTGTGGCTCTAAAAGATGTCACAAGGTCCTACAGGATGCCCTTCCACTCTGTGATGTCATCAGCACCTCAACTTGCCTCATACACACAGCCACCTACAGAAATGTCAGCATGGACAAACCTAAGGCATTTATGCCCGACGGTATTTTTCCTTCTCTAGTTCTTTAAATTCAGGTGAAGAAGTAATTCCCAGAGAAAAATCATAACTGAAACACCCGAATGAAAGGATCACATTATAAACCAGATGTTCAAAAGGCATTTGAGATCTCAAAAAATGCTTTCCCACTGTTTTTACCCTATATAATGTTTTCATAGAAAAAGGATGAATCTTTTCTTCTCTGATCCCCTCTTCAATTCCATGAGCTATTTTCCAGTTCTATCCAACTAGGTATAATCTATAGTCATGTGATGTACAGTATTCTATGGAATGCTTTCACTTTGTCTTCAAAAATATTAAAATCCACTGCTACAAAGTAGTAACAGTTTCACAGTACCACTCCTGGAGCAGCATTTCTATGGAACAACTGAAAATTTTAACAAAGCTGCACCCCCACAGAACAAAGTATTGTCAATTAGACTTATTTAGTTAAAAAATCTCTCTGCTGTATTTTAAGATCAACATTAGTCAGAGTAAACTCACCTGTTCCATTAAAAATGTTACTTGATAAGGAGTTATTCATTCCAAATGCCTGATTTCTGTTCATCCCAAATCCAGACATACTGTGAAAAAAATCCAGGAAGTCAGAAAAAATGGTATACATACTTTGTAATTGCCAGTGGAAGGCATTAAGGAGAAAAAAACCCCTACAACACTTAAATTATTTCAAGCTTAAGCAACCCATATCAGCCTAAACTCAGTTTTTAATTATTTTCCTTTATACTTCTGAAAACCTTGAGCAGCAGCAGCAGGCACTGGCTCGATCAAGACGACTGGAATGACTTCAAAACAACTTAGTTTTTTAATAGCCACCGTGCCTTAAGATATCTGTCAACCAAAAAGTTACAACAAATATTATGGTAACTCAGTAATTTCTTAAAGAAAAATGAAGCAGCAGTAAATGCAGTAGTGAAAAGTCAGGCCGCAATCCACTCATTTGCTGGATCATGGAAGTGATCAAGTTTGTCATGATTCAGTTATAAGCTGAACAGTTATGGTGTGCAATCATCACCATGTACATACGGCACTATTACAAGCATAGGGATGGTCTCTGCCACACAAGGACACCAGCTAAATTAAAGTCTCATAGAGTCAGAAGAAATGTTTGAAGACATCTAAATATCATATAGGACTACTGTGGTCAGAAAGACACACTCAACAAATGATCTGCTGCATTCTTTGAGAGCTGGAGATGTTGAGAAGCTCAAAGGTAGGCCCAGACTGAGCAAAATTCTGAATTTCTGCCCTGTGGGAAATCACAACATTCATTTTTTCCTGTAAAAGGATGCAAGTTGATGTTTCAGAAGTTTCTGTAAATAAAAATGTCAAATGTTTTCCTAGCAGCAATTTTACCTACATGGTCTTTTTCCACTGTTACAAATCTGAAGCATTTCATTCCGATCTGAAATAGCCCTAAATACTTCATTTTGGATTGAGACATCAAGATAGGGAACAGTTAGCCAAGACCGGTCCTGTCCGGCTTTGCCGCCCCGGGGTGGTGAATTTGAAAAACATCCAGACCTTTTGACACCTCATGCATCTGAAGAAATACATCCCTGGTATCATCTGTGAATTCTAGGTCTGGTAAGAGCACCAACAGGAAACTCGAGCACCAGCTCCTTGATCTGGAGGACATAATCTAGCCTGATGACAGACAGTATTTCTCATGTAAGGGTTTTTCTTCTTTGCTTTTAAAGTCATTAGAAATAACCATGTTAAGAATTTCAGGGATAAGAAAGGGATTAGGCCACAAAATGCATACTTCTCTACAATTATTTGTAACCTGTTTTACCAATGTAACTAAGGAAATGGAAGTGAAGTATTTTTTATGTTCAAAAACCTAAAAAATTGCTCCAACTAAGGCAACCATTCAGAAAACATTTCTTGGAAGTCACGTAATTCATACACCTGGCAAGGAAACACCATCATTTTTTTTCCAAGTATAATTTCAAAATTTTGTTAAGTATATCAATTGACAATTGGATATGCATTACCAGTATACTTCTGTAGGTTAATAAACTGTGGAATAAGAACTTGTCATTGTTCCAGTGATACTTCCTTATCAAATTGAAAAAATTGTAGCTTCTTGAAATTGAGATATACCATGCAAACGGTGAAAGATGAGGATTTTAATTCAAATGCTCCTACAGACAGGGATTTCATTACCTACTCTACAGCTGAGTGCTATTTAAACAAGTACCTTCTACACATATATCAATCTCCATAATCATTGTCCTCTGCATGTAGAGTTTGTAAGTATATTACTGTTTCAACCTTTTGTGATGCTCATTTCAAAAATACTTTAAAATATAATATTATCTTTTAAAATCATCCTTTCCTTTACTTGCTGCTACACATCACAGGAAAGAAAAGGCAAATTCTATGTAATCAGAGGCAAGATACAAAGTCTTCTCACACACTCCAAGAACATAAACCGCTACTACCAAATCTCTATTGCTGTGATTGAGAAAAATATTTTTAGGCCTATATCAGTGTGAAACTACAGAACTAAATAGCCTGACCAAGTTTCAGATAATCATGACATTAGTTTTCACCTTACTTTACCCATTTTGTAAAATACTAGATAGGGTTACAGGTGGCACCTGACTGCCATGAGCTTGTTGTGTGCTCCGTGTAAGAGTCAGTCCCCTAAGGAAGGGCCCGAAGGGAGAAAAAGGATGAAACTGGAAGCACAGAAGTTGTGAGGTTGTGGAATGAAGCCTGGAGAGCAGTCAGCTGTGCGAAGCTGTGACCACACACATTAAATCATTAGAATCAACACACTTTTTACTGCAAGTTTATCAGTATGAACTAAGCATAAACATAGCACCAAAACACAGTTAAAGCCTAATGATTTATGATGTTACAATCTTGCCCAGTCAGAAAAACAGCTGAAGCGACTGAGCTTTTGCCATCCAAATAAGCATCACATCCTTAAATGAATGGTAAACCACCGTTCTCCGTAGTATTCCAGAATTTAAAAACGTAAACCACTAGGTCCCTACTGCATCTGAATCAGTTAACTATTCTTCCAGAATAACTATTATGTTTTTAAATCTTGCCTTACTTCTTCCCAAACGCACAGATCAATAGGCTTAAATGGAAGCATATACCCCAAAATCAATGTATGTTTCAAAATGAAAGTCAGGAAGCACAGGAGAAACATCACATATCTTAAAGAAGCAGCAGCAGAAATTCAAGTAGTCAGAAACAGAATTTAGCTTAAAGGCCTCAAAAGCTTATGTGATTATTAAAAGCAGCTTCAAAGTTTATTGCCAGGAGACGAGAACACGTGAAGCAGCACTTTTGAGCTTTATTCCAATGGATAAAAATTAGATTTCCAGAGCAGCAATTTAAGCATGTCCACGGCTGTACAGGGATGGTCTGACTAAGCAGCCTTACCTGTTCACAGTAAAAGGTTGTCGAGAGGGTTGCTGCTTTGGCATACATATTATGCTTGGAGAGCTTCTGTTGGGGCTGCCTAACCCTGAACTGCTCATGCTGTTTGTCCTGCTGGGAATTCCAATGCCCTGACCAACCTGGGAGTGGTTCATCATATTCCTAGGATTCATAGGCAATATCCCCCTGAAAGAGAAAAACCATCCACAGAGATGAAATCTGTACAATAGCATTTGGTTACTCATTTAGATTACTAATGTAGGATGGACTCTGAGCTGTTGCAGCTTAATTTGTGCTTAGCGTCAACACAGCATGTTTGGTTTACTCTCTATAATTAATGCAGGTTTGGATTTCTTCAGAAATACCAGATGACCCATTACATACTGATCAAGTCCCTGGTCAGGTTTAGATAAATGCTTAAATATTATGCATTTGAAAAGGTGTTACAGCTCTTTTTTAAATGAGCTCTTCAGACGTACTACCTTAATATTCTTATACAGTGTATGACATCCATATAAAAATTTTAACTGTACATTTACCAGAACACCCAAAAACCAGTCTCTTACATTCTGAAGCAGAATTTGCCAGCAATTTGTCCTTTACATACTAAAATCAAATACTGTCTTACAGTAAGTCCAATCTTACTGTTTTACAGTATTATTTCCCTAATGTAGGCAGTGGTCAATAGAAACTACTTTTCTTCTTTTTTTTTTTTTTTAATTAATCAGACTGTAAAGTAGTTGAGGCAAAATATGCAGAACATTTAACAAGAGCTCTGCCGAAAGACACAATCGCAGAAACATCGTCTATCAATAAATACCTGCTCGGAGATGGAGGCGTGTGAAGTGACATTGTTGGTACCCCTGTTGTTGGCGTTACGTGGCTCGGTAACTGAGTGCCTTGTGATAAGCTGCGATTTAACTGAGGGGTATTGTTGCTCATTCCCCTCATTGGAAGGCCTAGTGCACCTATTGAAAAAAAATTCAGAGGGGTGGAGATATAGAGCAATCAGGAACAGAGTCTTCTCCATCAGGTGTAGATGGAAACAATTTATGCTGACAACCTACAAAAAAGTGTAAAGACTGAAGGAAAGTGCAGTGTAAAAACTAAGTCCTTGTTTGCATAGTAGAATCTAATTCTCTCAAATTTAGCCCCATTTCTGTTAAACTTTAGAAAGGCTCTTTAAGGAATGTTTGTATTTGCGTCACTAACAAAATTTTATTTCCTTTGAGATGCATACTGTAGAGAAAGGTTTTAGCTTTGAGTTTTTGATGAGGGCGTGGACATCTACAAAGTATCTCAAAAAAGGCAGCATTTTGAGAAAATTAATAACTGCACTCAAGAAACACGTTAATTACTTTTGAATAAACCGGTATATATTTGGCCAGTACGTAGAACACTGATCTGTCTTGTTAAAAATTAAGCATATCTTTAATAAAAAAAAAGAAAATGATTAATACTTAGTTAAATGCAACATTGCTTTTAGGACAACAGCAGCAACTTTTTAGGCCAGTTCTCTGTAAAGTTGAAGTTGCTTCTTCTTGATTACAGAACTTCAGTGTCCATGATCAAGTCAAGTTCAATCTTTTGAGAAAAGAAAGCAAGCAGAATTTTAACTGCCTTCTATTAGAATTTAAAAAAAACCCAGAAGATTTTTAACATTGCGATCAAAAGTATTTTCTACACAAATAATTAATTGGGTGTGACAGACTGAAGTAAGCACTTCAGTGAGGTAAAAAAAGAAATCACTTTAACTCAGAGCAGCAACAGATAACCAGCTGCTACCCATCCCAAAATGTCCAAAAGCTTTATGAAGTTTCTCATCATTCTCACACTGCTTTTCTATGTTTATGAAGTTTTGGAATGATGTTCTAAGACAAGAAAAAGTAATTTAGTGCAACATATCAGTAGAAACAAACTTAGCATATGAAATGTGACAGCTATAAGTAACGGTCCCTATTGCTTTGGCATACGGCTGCTGAGGTAGACTCACAGAACTCAAAACCTTATCTTGCAGACAAAACAAAAGAAAAAATGATGATGAATCAGCACTCTCCCATGGTAGATCACCCCTGCAGAAGAGCTGGATATGCCAGTGTATAATGTGATTAAATGCAAAGAACGGACATAGCATATGCTCAGGTCATTATCATGGACAAGGTCTGAAGAAACCTCCCAGTTGTTTAGCTCTCACACTCTAAGAACTACTGTCTGTCTGTGTCCTACCCTACAATTTGCAACCCAAGAACTTTGCAATAACACTTGAAGTTTTGACAACACTCCAATTTATCTCTATACATTCAGATTAAGAGGTAGGGTGACTTGCTATAACAACCCTCCTAAGACTTCATTAAATGCTGATTATATGAAGGTGTTCACTGTAAATATTTTGGCAATTTGCTGCATCAGAATAATATCAATGAGCATAAATATACATTATAAATAATACTGCACACTGATTAACAATTAGGTGGAATTTTAAAAACGGTAAAGAAAAAATACATACACTTCCAAACTAGATACAGTACACTGGAAACTTGATTACAACATTCAGGTTATTTTTATGCAAGCATTTGTTTCAGCAAAGCCAGTTTTACACTGATGGTTATTTCTTGTTGTTGGCTTTCTTTAAACTAGAATTTTTAATGAGTAGGGCTGTAACAGTGAAGTAGAACTATATTCCTGTGGCTGGCAAGTATGGGCAGTTGAAATATGCACGGTAAGGAAAAGGAAAAAAAAAGAAATCTTTTTTCTTATGCTACCTTTTTCCACATTTTTAACTGAGACAAGAGATCTGCATGGGCTATATTGGAGGCTGACCAATGAAGTGGCCAATTTCCTACCTAATAGCGCAAGTTCATTAACTCTGTCACATGATGTCTTCTAAATGACTGACAGTTACCAGTCTCAAAGTATCAGCTTTGTTTTTCCCAGAAGTATTTTAATGATAAGCATTGACTTCAACGCAGAAGTTTCTTGCCCTTTTTTCTTAATATTTGGCAGAAACTGAACCCCAATATTTACTTTCTAGTTTCTAACCATGTGTGTCTCCATGTTAGAGAGAGTACGTCCTAGACACCACAACCAACTGAACAACAAAGTTGATGAAAAAAAGTTAACCTTAAAAATAAACAACAAATAACTGTGATAAACAGAATGCATTAACTACTTCAGTATCTTTATACCGTTAAGTCTGAAAGGTTCAGTAGTGCCGAATTCAGGATCCAAAAACCCAAGAGCCAAACATGACTCTCAGGCTGACCAGAAACTGCTCATACAAACCTCAGTAGCGTAATCAAATGCCAGTTTATATTACATGGTCACTCATCAACAGCCACCGAGACAGTAAAAAAATTACTATATTTTTTAAACTATTTGAAGAAAGCCGAAAGAAGTTATGAAGGCCATGCATCTAGCAGACAAAGCTTTTAATTAGGCCAGATAAAAAAATTCCAGACTCTCTAAAATACTCTGAATAGTTTTTCTTAGAATCAGAGTCAGATGCACTAGGCCAGAAAGTTGCAAACATGCAAAAGCATACAGTGATAAAAGAGAGATGTTCATAAACCTATTTTACTTGTGTAACTGTATCTAACTCAGATATTCTGAGTCACTTTCTGGATGCACTTCTCAGCTACAGGGATGTTCCGTTCTCAACGCTGGCCCTTAAGTTAGGTGGCTAGCGTTACACACTGTGACTGCTGCTCTACAGCTCTTCGACTGCAACAGTACACACAAGACTGGCAATACAGAAAAATCTTCAAGGTATGGGAAAGAAACAAACAGTGGTGCAGAAGCCAATAACCTTACTGGCGTAGTTCTTTGCCAAATGTGAGCTGCCAAGCATATACACAAGATCTAATTTGCTCCTATAGAGCATGAAATATCAGTTATAATTTAAGGTATAATGTCCTTCTATTCCTTACATATTTTTCTGAACTAGGCTCATTTTGGCCCAGCTCACTTTCCTTAGTTTTTCCTTCAGAGAGTCAGTTAAATCACAGACTCTTTATAGGATGATTATATTTGGATATTTAACAGCTATACAGTGTCAATATATGACACTTTGCATATTAAACACTGCAAAAATGCATACTAAGGAAAGCAAAAATGTATCTTGAAAAAAAAATAAAAATCACACAAATAAGTAGACATACTGTCTTTTTTACAATCACCAGAAAACAAAGCCATATGCATGTTCTCTACCCAAAGAGCATGAAACTAGAACATATTTAGTGTAAAATAAATATATTATCAATAAAAAGAATTCTTACTTTGTTGCCCGTATAAACTTGCCCCAAACTGAGACAGCTGACCTGATGTTGATGGTGATGCCAGCATCTAAAATGTAAAAAGAATAAAAGGTTAAAGACACGGTTTACAGCAGTATATTATTTTGCCAAGAAAGCCAAAACAGCAACTGAAAACTCCCTTTAAGTCACCAGAAGTTTTAGAAACTCCCCAAAATATCTGCAGAGTAACAACTGTAACAGTATGTTACATGTCACTAAAAATTTATGACTTTACATGTATAAACCCAGACTTTCTTTTATTTGTGACAAATAGGATAGAGAAAGAAGATCTAAAAGCTTTCAGTTTTTCTACCCTTGTAGCTGAGACCCATCTTTACAGAGTAAAGAATACTCAGTGATTTAAATCAGATACAGGGTTTTTTTTCCCCCCTGCAAAACACGCCTCATACAAGCAGATCAATCCTGTTCAATGTAATAACAGCAAGTGCAAAAGTTTTATATTATCAGTTATATTAGCAAAAGGCGGGAAGTAAGTGGCTAGGTAGGATCAGGTACATAGAAACAGATATGAACTTCAGGTAAGATTCCAATGTTAAAATTGGAAATGTATACAAGCTAGCTTCGTGCTTGTATACACCATATAAATAGGTAAGATGTACAAACGTCAGAAGTCATCTTTCTTGCTCTATTACTTTCCATCTTAGAGACATCCCACATTACCAAGTATTTCCATTAAAACCTGCTTTGTCAACTTTCAGACATCACACAAGCAGTGTGACAAACTAAAGAGAAACTCTCCAGAAGAATAAGATCTAAAAAAAAAAAAATAAAAATAATTATTATCTATGAAGAAAGACTGAGATCTGGGTTTGCATACTCCAAAAAGAAGGCAACTAAGGTAGGGACATGACAGCAGACTTCTAGTCATTGCTGTAAGAGGAGAAGAATAAACTACTCTCCATGCTGCTGCAGAAATGGAAAGTATTAATAGAGTTGAGAAACAGGAGATTTAGGCTAAGTATTTGGTAAAAAAAAAAGCCCTTTACAATCTTAAGGACAGTTAAGCACTGGAACATCCATCCCTGGATGATTTTAAAGAACAGGTTAGATGTTCATCAATATATCAGGTATAGCTGATTGCCCCTTGGAGCAAGAAGATTAGCTGACCTAATCCATCCAGCTCACAACAGAACATGCTACATGTACTGACTAACCCATGTGCAAATGCCTGCTTGTTTAGTGCAGTAGTCTGGACTTGGATTGAATTTTAGGGTGCTTTCAAGGAAAGGAATGTCTGGATTCTTAAACATAAGGGGATTCCAAGCCTTTCAACTTAAGAGTAAAGAATTCAAATCACAATAACTTTCACTGTGATAAATGGAAAATTGCTTTGTTGACTTAATCTAGACAGATGTAAAACTCAAACCTTATAAACTGAATCTGCTAGTTGTCTATACTGAGGCCAAATCTAGATGGTAGAAATGAGAAAAAAGACACGCAGGGTAGACACTAAATATCAAAAGAAGCATTCACGTTTGTAAATCACAAAGTATTTACCATATTTTGAATACACACAGCAGGCAATTACTGTAGACCATCAGAAAATGTATCAGAAATATCACCCTAAAATACTATATACTCACACATATTTTTGAACTAAGTGCATGTATTTGATAGTAAGAAACTACAGCAATAAACATCCACACTTGCATACACAGGAGGTTTGACATACTAAGATACGAAACTTCCTGAAGAAAAATATAGCTAAAATATATGCCAAACTGGACCAAAGTTCTCCTTTCTTAGTGAAGAATTGTCTGTGAATAAAAGATCATTTTAAGTAACTACCAGTGGCTTCAGCTCAGCGCTCAGACAGCAAAGTTCACCGGGCACATCTGCATAAGCAAGAAATGCCACCAGAGAAAAGTGCATTTGTAAAACTAAAATGTTGGTCCTGAGGGCTTAACACACACACTGTATTGCATTTCTAAGAAGAGTTGGCTGTGACTAAAACACCTGATGCCATGGACTGGTTGCCCATTAGTGAGTGGAACATGTTTGGTGCATTCCTGGAGCACCTCCTCCAGCCTGTTTTGATCCAGAAGGAATCAAATTCACTCACAGCAAGACTGCTCTGCGACATGAACCAAAGCACGCAGGAGCGGGGACACTTGGGAGACAGACTTGAAAAGCACACTCCCCACCCAAACTAACAAACTGATGGTTGTTAAACATTGATAAAACAAGCTGATACAGTAGTTTGTCGAAAGGAAAGTAAAATGTTGAGGTAAGAAAAAACAAACATTCGAGTTTGACAAGTTGGAAAATCCTAGAACATGTTGCAAGGTGTGGCAAATTGTAATTCCATGGAAAAAAAATGAGATAAAAAGTTATGAGACACTTTCAGAGACAACAACAAAGGCACAGAAGCACAAAAAAAAAACCCCAACAAAACCAAACACCAAAATCAAACCAACCACACATTGAGGTAGAACCAGCAGTCAAAAAGTACTACCAGCTTTGGGACAGGTAAGCGAAACAGTCAAGCTAAAAAGAAGATCCCGTAAGAAGAGCTGCTCGGGGCATTAAAAAATTACTGTGATGCCATGTGATATAATAAGCAGATAATGGTACAAATCTCAGCACAAAAATGTTTTATTTATAATTTTAACTTGGATTAAAAAAAGAAAGACGACAAATCACAGACCTAAGATGTACTATATTACTTGAAGGAAGAAAAAGAATCTCACCTCTTCTACACCGAGTACTACTTGACTTTTCAAATTCAGTTAAAAGAAAAGGAATGCCAAATAATATTTAATGAAGGCTGCTTATTAGAAATTGGATTTTTCTTTTGAAACATTGCAAAGTAGGTCACGTGTATTGTGCCATTTGCTTTTACATGAAAAGTTAATTGCAAAATTACTTGTAGAGAAACCTTTATAGAAAACCATAATAAAGGCCAAGTATTAAATTCAGTAAGTCTTAACGACTAGTCTTAAAGTCATAACATACTTAGAAGATCAAAGATAACACGCCTGAAGAAGAAATAAATAAAAATTTCTGTGGATCTGTTCCAGGCTGATGAAACGCAGTGTTTCTCAAATCTCATGGAGAACGAATACGCTGTGTGGGTATCTCACTTAATTCTCTCTCTAGTTCATTTTGTAATATGTCAAAAAACCCTCCCCGGTATTAAACAAATTTTTTCTGTCATAGGTAAGTAAGATATTGAAGTTTAAAATTTTGTCTGTTATTTCCATATAATTTAGGTCAACAACAAAACAACTGAATTAGCCAAAACCTTAACCTATGCTACCAGGAGACCTTTATTTTCATTCACCACCTCTGAATCACTACTGTTGTCTACTCAAACTTGGTCTACCAAAAAGACAACCATAATTCAAGATTAATCTGGACTATTGGCTACACAACACACAAAATATAACGACTCTTGAAGAGCGTACTTGCAATAGTGGCTGGAAGTCACACGAATTTCTTTTAGTCTACAGCATCCAAAGGTCTTAATAAAAACCAAAGCAGTCTAATTAATGCTTAAGGTCACTAAAGCCTCTTCCAGTTGGTGAGATCTTTTAAGCTTTACCCAATTATATCAATATTTTAGGGAAAAATTCCACAGAACTGTACCTGTAACAACCTTTGAAAAACAAAACTTACCAAATTACTGAGGTCACATCAATCAATAGCATATTCTAGCAGTATATATATACACACAATACCAACTTTTTAAAACAAGTGACTAATAATCTTCGATCAAGTCAAGGAAGTTGTTACACAAGCTTTTGACTCCTATAGCTTTTGCTGCACACGTACAAAAACCCCTCCACTCTTCAAACTTTGGCGTTTAGGTTTAAATCAATTTGCCAGTGGTTAACAGCTACATAACCCAGTTGTGAAACAGCATGGGATTTCTGCTCCTGTTCCAACCTTGCATGACTGAACTAGACAGATTGTTTCAACCAGCCTTCCCTGTATGTGTTTGGAGACAAAGGGGGCCTACGACTTACATCTCCCAGAGGGCAAGGAGACAACTGAGCAAACAAGACCTTGTGTAACGTGAAGGATGCACTTTATTCTGCTAGTGTATGGAAGGACCGACACTCAGTACTGGCAGGCAGGACTTAGCTGATGACAGTCGACTAAGATGTGAGTAAAATGATGTTCACAAGTCTCAAATAGTCACAGTGCAGTTCTGATCATGGAAGATTCTCCTTCTAAACTCAAACCAACTGATGATCCAAGCAGATGTCCCAATTTTTCTGGACTGGTCCACACCAAAGATCAGTAAGCTGTAACGTGCTACCAGGCAATTTCCTACAACTAGGGATGAATGAGATTTTAGCGTAACTGCTTTTGGTAAGTCTTGATGGTTTTACTGCAGTAAGCTCATTTAAGAGTGTCAGCAATCTCAAAAAACCAGCACCAGCAACTGCGTAAATTTGCCAAAACTGTGAAAAAAAAATGCTGCATTTTACAGGCCTCTCGGGAGACTGGTGAACACAGGCTGCAGCCTCCCTGCAAGCAGAGGTGGGTGGCGGGAGGAGGCCCAGCCGCAGAGCGGGCTGACAGGGTTCCCGCCTCCCCCCCGCACTGCAGCACCCTGCCTCTTCCAAGCACACCCCAACTTACCGGCGGGACGGCTGCCTGTCACCACAACTGCCGCGGTAGCACCCCTCGGCATGGTGACACCAAGAAAACTCAGTAAAGCAACATTTCTGTGAAGGTGGCTACGCTATGCGGTTATAGCCTAAAGCTACTTTCTTAAACACAAAGCAAGCTGAAGTTAAAATACGTCAATCCAGTGCTAGAAAGTCCACTAAAAGCAAAACACTGTAGAATAAGCAAGTAAGCCTGTGAGTAATATCTGGCCTGATAAATGATGGCTTTCTCACAGGTGCAAACATCAGCATCATTTTGTATTTGCACTACTTTATTTCTGGTATCTGCCATCTGTGCTGCACTATTTAATGATAAAACAGCTGACCCACAGCCTCGAAAGGAGGAATCGTTATACTGACATGAAAAATAATAATAAACCAACAAATAAGAGATCAAAATAATATAGAT